AACTAGCACCTCATGACTACACCATGTTATGTACGAGAAGACACAGGCGCAAGTGGAGTGTACAAAACATGGTGACATTAATTTTTAAGTAAATATAATGGGCGATATATTGCGTCACCAAAAATTATTGAGGTCATGTACATATATTGCGCGATAAGTCGATATATTGATTATTGCGACAGGCCTAAGAAGAATGCTTTATTCTGATGTAATATTATTATTAATAAATGTTGATATTGCACATTGATGTATTTGAGCATGCATCTGTTTTGAAGTCAGAACTGATCTGTGTTTTGCGTGCTGTTGTTCACATTACATGTGTTGGGTGTAATGTGGTTCCTGGGCGTCTGTGGTTTCTCGTGGATCTGCTGCGGTCTCAGTGCTGACAGCTGATCTGATAGCAGACATGACCTGCAGATACTCATCCACAGACAGATGCTCCTCGACATGCACACAAACAACCCTGAACATGCCGTTTGTGATGCTTCAAGTCTTCTGTGCGAAACCGTCTTTCGCATGTTGTTCATCAGTGATGCATGAGTCAATACATGAGGTCAAATGGTAAAATCAACATGAAATGTATTTACTTTTATAATTCATGCTCCAAGTTTAATTGTGAATGATGCATCAGTGGTGTTGTTCTAAAGAAAAACCTGTTTGTCTTCATAATCTTTCATTAAAATCCTCTCAGGGCGGGGTCTATGCTAATAGGGCAGAGAGCGTCACAAATGGGCGGGACTTTTCCTAGTATGACGTCATTATAGGGAGAAATCTGGAATCGCTCGTTTGGAGAGACTGTTTATGATTTATTGGGATTATAATAAAACGAGTGTGTGGATTTTTACCATTATAGGCTGGTTGTTTTCACACACTGTGGCCACACAACTGTTCAAACACCTTATAAAAGTGATTTTTGCATAAAAGGTCACCTTTAATGGTTGTGAGACTCAGCTCACAGAGTTTGTGAAGCGTTTGCAGTATTTCCCGAGCGTTTAGGGGTGTGTGTGTATGTTTCAGTGTGGCGTGTTGGGCGTCTCACATATGTGGCATTCTCTGGCTGGCGTGTTCAAGCGTGACACCTGACTCCAGCACCGCCGTCCTGTTTTAGACACTCAGCGTAAGCGTTTGACGCGCTGCGAGTGTGTTTGTGTGCTGTCATACAGGAGCATGTGAAGGTCACGTGTGTTTGCAGATGATAATAAATATCAAATGTGGGCCAGTATATGATTCTACAAATGCTTTCCAAGCAATTACAAATTTCATAAATAGAAGTAAAATATAAAATGATTCAATGGAGATCACTAGATTTAAACCACACTTTTGGACAACATGGACCATTTAAGCACATTACATGACAAAATTAGAGAAAAGCAGTGTTGTTTACTTATTACCTTGATTATTTATAACTAATGATGATATCTAATCTTGTTTTTCTTCCATCTCTCATATAGAGACATTGTTTATCATCTGATCAATTCCTCATGGATAAAATCAAGTCCTGGCTGTCATTGTTTTTCCTCATTTTTATGTAAAATTATCTACAATTTTCAAAACTTAATATCATATTTTATGGGTACTCATTCACTTTAATACAAAATATATAAATTTTTCATTAAAATAGTGCATTTTACTA